TTTGTGTGCAGCTTACAATCTCCCGACGATGCTGATATAAGAACCAGAATCCTAAGTAAAATTGAACAGTGCCCAAACATCTCGCTTCAAGAAATAACTGCAGAGTGCCAGAGATTAGTAAACTTGAAGCATGATACCTCCATGGTCGAAAACAAGGGCCTCTCATCATACGTGCATTCCATTAGTGAAAAGAAAAATTCCAATTCGGCCCAAAAACCCAAAATGAATCCACCTTCTGCTTGCTGGCACTGCGGTTCATGGCACTATGTACGGAACTGCCCATTCAGGCAGCATAGATGCAGGAAGTGTAAAGTCATCGGTCATAAAGATGGCTTTTGCCTACAGAAAAAGCCAAAGCGATCCAGAAGTGCTAAGAAGCCTGTTCCTAGATCCAGTACCAATGCATTGAGCCTAATATCTTCCTGCCAAAGCTCATCACCAGAATGCAAATAGATACTGCATCTGATGTCACTATCCTCTCACGCAAAAATTGGACCAAATTCGGCAGCCCAAGCCTGCAGCACACAACACAAAAGCCTCGTACAGCATGTGGTAATTATCTTCGTCTGTTAGGACAATTGGAATGTAAAGTTGCTTTCCGAGATTCGTCGTTTACTGGGGTATGCTATATAACGCCAGCTGATCTAAATTTACTTGGTTTAGATTGGTTCGACCAGCTAAAATTGGCTGATGTCCCGCTAAATACCATATGCAGCCTGGTATCACAACGACATGACCCAGAAGCTTATACGAAGAAGCTGATGACAGAGTTTTCAACCATTTTTGAACCTGGATTAGGTCGGTGCACTGCTATGAAAGCAACACTTCGGTTGAAACATGGGGCTAAGCCTGCTTTTCGTCCAAAGAGACCGGTACCGTATGCTACATTAGCAACAGTAGATGAAGAGCTGGATCGCCTTCAACGACAAGGAGTTATTACTCCCGTTTCTTACTCCAGTTGGGCAGCACCTATAGTCGTTATCAAGAAGGCCAACGGCACGATACGTATATGTGCTGACTTCTCTACAGGTCTCAACGCAGCTCTAGAACAGCATCATTATCCTCTGCCAGTCCCAGCAGATCTGTTCACTATGCTGAATGGGGGAAAGTTCTTCGCAAAGCTTGACCTAGCTGATGCTTATTTGCAAGTGGAAGTCGATGAAGCATCTAAAGAGCTGCTTACTATCAACACTCATCGTGGTTTGTTCCAGTATAACCGTCTACCTTTTGGAGTTAAGACTGCCCCATCTATCTTCCAACAACTAATGGATACTATCCTGTCAGATATCTCAGGGGTTGCAGCTTATCTCGATGATATCTTGATTGTTGCGAAGACGTTAGAACAGCTACGGGAACGCACGACATTGGTACTACAACGCATCAGTGACAATGGTTTCCGGTTACGCCCAGAAAAATGCCAGTTTCTATTGCAGTCGATAAAGTATTTGGGATTCATCTTTGATGCCGACGGTTTCATGGCCCAAACCTGAGCATCCTTGGTCCAGGATACATGTCGACTTCGCTGGCCCAATAAATGGAACTATGTATTTAATTGTCGTCGACGCCTTTTCTAAATGGCCGGAAATCAGCCCCGTTATGCCGCCCACTACAACTAAGACTATACAGCTCCTAACTGAAATTTTCTCACGAAATGGCATACCAGATGTGATCGTATCCGACAATGGCTCTCAATTCACCTCTTCCCAATTCCAGAATTTCTGTCAACGGCTAGCTATTAAACACTTACGCTCGCCACCATACCACCCGCAATCGAATGGGCAGGCGGAAAGGTTTGTGGATACGTTTAAAAGAGCACTGCTCAAGTCGAAAGGGGAGGGGACGCCAGCCGAAACGTTACAAAATTTCTTGTACGTCTATCGGACAACACCAAATGAATTGTTCCTGGAGCAAAAGTCCCCAGCTGAAATCCTGATGGGAAGAAGATTGAAAACGATTCACAGCCTGATGCATCCGACCAATGCACCCTCATCAGTAGAGACAAAGCAGCAAAGACAATCCGCTTACGAGGTGGGATGCCCTGTGTTTGCCCGCGACTACAGAACGAACCATGGTCCTTGGGTAGAAGCGAGAGTGGTCAGAAGGGTTGGTCGAGTAATGTACGAAGTAGAGGTAGGAGGTGATAAATGGTCACGTCATCGCAATCAGATACGCAGACGGCTAGCCCCAGATCGCCCATCAAGAGCAGAAAGCCTTCCCCTTGACATCTTGCTTGATACCTTCAACCTACCGAGAGCCCCGCCACGAGAAGAAACTCAGCAGCAAGCTGTTCTTCGTTCCCGAAGGTATCCCCTCAGACAGCGGCGAACAATAGTCAAGATGCAAGTCGACCCCAGGAGAACAAGCTATTAAAAAGGGGAGGAGTGTTGGGGATGTTAGATCCCCAAAATTCGCTTGATAATGCCGTATTTTGGTTTTCACGTTTCGCCAGCAGGGGCTGATCAAATGACCTTGAGATTTCAATTCCCACCAGGAAAATCAATGGCTGTGATTGGCTACAGTGTATTTTAGTATGCTATTTTCTTAACTGTCTCAAGGACGTTGTTATGTTGTATAAATAAACGAGAGTTGTATGCTTGATTGTACTGGGATTGCTGGGTGCTTGTAGAATATACTTCTACGCCTACAAAGTCTTCTATTTCGATTCTGGGATTCAGGGTAGCCTTCCTGGAAGCTGGTAAAAGTCTCGTTCGCGTTTATCGACTAAGGTAAACTCGTAATAGCCTCAAGCATCCTAAGTGACGAACATATCAGTGGCGACGGGGCTCACAATTCACAATGTCAATTAATCTTGAACAGTTAGAATCTTTACTGGAACGTCAAGGTAAACGATATGAACAGTTCCAGGAACGTATGTTGGAGCTGTTAATGAAACAAATGAATTTGAATCACAGAGGTTTTGCCGATGATTCATATAATCCGCATACAGACTCGATAGTTAATTCCATTCATGAATTTCATTTTGATGGCCTTGCTGGTGTGACTTTCGAGTCTTGGTTTAAGAAGTATGAGGATTTGTTCAAGGTCGACCTCAACAATCTTGATGACGCCACCAAAGTCAGAATCCTTTTGAGAAAGCTCGGCACAATCGAACACGAACGTTATAGTAATTTCATCCTCCCAAAGAACCCACGAGATTTCTCTTTTGATGCTACAATTGATACGCTGTCGCAAATCTTCTCTGAACAGTCATCTCTCTTTAATATTCGTTATCAATGCCTCAAAATAATCAAGTCAAATGAAGATGACTGGGTAAAGCATGCTGGCTTAGTAAATCGTGAATGCGAACGATTTAAATTATCATCAATGACGGAAGATCAGTTTAAGTGCCTTGTGTTTGTGTGCAGCTTACAATCTCCCGACGATGCTGATATAAGAACCAGAATCCTAAGTAAAATTGAACAGTGCCCAAACATCTCGCTTCAAGAAATAACTGCAGAGTGCCAGAGATTAGTAAACTTGAAGCATGATACCTCCATGGTCGAAAACAAGGGCCTCTCATCATACGTGCATTCCATTAGTGAAAAGAAAAATTCCAATTCGGCCCAAAAACCCAAAATGAATCCACCTTCTGCTTGCTGGCACTGCGGCTCATGGCACTATGTACGGAACCGCCCTTTCAGGCAGCATAGATGCAGGAAGTGTAAAGTCATCGGTCATAAAGATGGCTTTTGCCTACAGAAAAAGCCAAAGCGATCCAGCAGTGCTAAGAAGCCTGTTCCTAGATCCAGTACCAATGCATTGAGCCTAATATCTTCCTGCCAAAGCTCATCACCAGAATGCAAATAGATACTGCATCTGATGTCACTATCCTCTCACGCAAAAATTGGACCCAATTCGGCAGCCCAAGCCTGCAGCACACAACACAAAAGCCTCGTACAGCATGTGGTAATTATCTTCGTCTGTTAGGACAATTGGAATGTAAAGTTGCTTTCCGAGATTCGTCGTTTACTGGGGTATGCTATATAACGCCAGCTGATCTAAATTTACTTGGTTTAGATTGGTTCGACCAGCTAAAATTGGCTGATGTCCCGCTAAATACCATATGCAGCCTGGTATCACAACGACATGACCCAGAAGCGTATACGAAGAAGCTGATGACAGAGTTTTCAACCATTTTTGAACCTGGATTAGGTCGGTGCACTGCTATGAAAGCAACACTTCGGTTGAAACATGGGGGCTTAGCCTGCTTTTCGTCCAAAGAGACCGGTACCGTAT